AAAGATTAATACGAAGATCTGGAGAAACCAAAATTAATTTGGTAAGTATAATAATACTTAATAAACATTAGAATAACTCATTGCATTTTTATAGCAGTTGCCATCCTAAAAGATTGCAATGTGTCTTACATATGGAAGGGAACCCTTCTCATTTACAGTACCAATGAACTGTAGCATGCACCTGGGTGATGCAGTTCATTTAACTCTCAAGGTAATACATTCTTTACATTAAAAATAAATTAGATTTTAAAAAGAAATAACACTTTAACAATATTCCAGGGTCTCAATAATTTCTAATCTTTATGAGTACACATATTATCTACTAGTTAAAAAGCAAAACATTTACAGCAGAATCCTTAAAATCCGTCCCAGGATTCAATATTTTCATTGTATATCATTTTTAAATACTACAGAATCCTTGAAGGACTGATTCTCAACACAGGAACGTATAAAGTAAATGAGGCATACAAGAAAATATGAAAGTGAAAGGCATGAAACACAGCCTTCAAAATATTTTCCCCCTGAAGCAAAAACTTGGATACTACAGTTCCAAAATATAATAAACTTCCTGACACTGAAAATTATAGTGTTCCAGCTACCATTTTACAGTGGACTGTCAAGATTAACGAGCTGCATCACATCATTATGGGCACAGAAGCAAGCAATATATGATTCATCACACAGATCTTCTTTCTCATGCACAGTGATCATAGTAAGACCCTTGCCATCAGAGAATAATACACTTAAACTTTTAACAAATGTTCAATTCCTTTACTATAACACAGAAATATAATTACTACATGTACAGTACTGTACCTTTCACACCTTTCCCGTCTGTTATTTCTTTAAAAATAAATTTCTAAAATACAGTAAATGCAATTTAGCAAGATCCAAGTGTACCTTTTAGCTTTTCCCCATCATTCATACTGAACATCAAACAAAACCTAACCAATGTGAAATTATTTTCAGCTAAAGCAAACCTGAAAAATGCCACAGTTCAATGTATTTGTAATATATTTATATGATATGCATTTAACAAGCTGCTTTCCAATGTGATGTAATAAGAATGAGTGCCATTTACTGTACATTTGTCCATAATCTATACAGCATTTACATACTGGCATGCAATTAAACCAGGTGGAATTTTTTTTTTACAAAACATTTTTAAATGTAGTCCAGTGCTCCAAGTGCTCCAAGTGATTTTATTTTAGTGTTTAGAAAAATCACTGGAAGCAGACCGTTGCCATATCTCCAACTCGTAACGTAGAACCATTGTATCACTGAAAACAAAGAAGTCTTTTCAGCACTACTGGAGTCCCTATTTCCTAACATGTTCAGACCACCACAATTAGTAAAATATCAGACTGAACTGCATGTTACTTAAATGGTATACAATGTGATTATTTGTAAGATAATGACCTTCATTTTCTGTCATTTCTGGGGTTACACAAATACTCAAACTGCATCCCCTCCTAAGTATAGAAGTACACATGTATTTTTCCAAGCTATTTAACACAAGTAAAAAAACAACAGATACTAAGCATTAATTTAAAATGTATTTATGATGTAATAAATCAGCATAAGTCTTTTTGATACCTAACTTAATAGCATCACATCTTCTTAAATGTGACAGAATTCTGTGCATTACAGAAGAGGTCCTTATATACTGTATCTCAGGTCTCATTTAAACCAGCAAATTTAAACAGATTAAATGATATGGCATTCATGTCCCATCAAGGATGACTTATGACCATGATTATTTGTCCTATATATTTATTGAACATTCATGGACTATGACATGATTACATTTAAACATATTTTAAAATGAAATTTTACTATGTTACATTTATGCTATGATAACATTGAATTTAAATGCATAATATTTCATTTCTTTTTCAGCTTGCCAAACAAGTTTACCCTCACACAGCATTTTAACCTCACAAGCAAGGTCAGAGCATGGAAAGCCATGTACTGTACTGTAGGCTTACTGTATATCTAATAACTATTGAACTGCATTTTTATTTTTCGTTATACAATATGCAGGAAAAAAATCTAAATGAGCTGGAATGGATGTAGTGGGACTATATATTTAATGTCTCCTTAACAGTCAGACACTTCACACACTTTTTAAAAATTCTTAATACTGTGATTCAAGACAGTCTATTCAAGCATTAAGGTAGTCACTGCATACTGTTGGATTCCTGTTTTCAGCTACAGTATGTGAGCTGAAAGACACTTTCAATGGCATTTTTTAGAAATGTGACATTTTGACATCTCCAGATCATCAGGTTATTATCAGATAATGAAAATCCTGGTTCTCAATTATATGAAAAAGCTGGAAGATAGGTGCTACAGATCACAGGACAAAGGTAAAACATTTTCTAGATTACAATCCTCTAAAACCATTCTGACAGCTTCCACTATATGATGCAGGGCAATGGATGCTGGGAAAAGCATGCTAAATCAAGATTATAGGAGTTAAATACTGTATATCTCCTAAAATCCAAAACATTTAAAAAATAAGCAGATCAAATAGCTGAAGGAATGAAACGTTTCAATATTGACCAAACACAGAGAACACAGATGCCATTACTATAATTTCCACCTAAAGAAGAAATTGTTTTTTTCACGTTTTCCTCTTCTCATACGTACTTTGATGTGTTCTCAAGTTAATACTGTCAATGCTAATTACATGTTGCCATCCACTCACCTGTACATTTTCAGCAGAAACAAATTCAAATTCATCTTCATGAATTCTGTGATCAAAGAGCTCATCATCAAAGAGTTATGCGATCCAGAAGTATTGAAAGTTATTTAAAATCATCTATAAGCTCATTTGACTTCAGTGTAGTTAATATAAGTAATGAAGAGAGGAAAGGGTCATTATGTGCTGTGTTGGTAAACATCTATGTTCAAGCAAGTCCATTCCAATATAATCATTTTTCATCTGATTTTCATTGGATCTTCAGTGTGTTTCAGATCAAAAGTACAGTATTGTACCACTAAGCCTATAATGATAAGGCTACTGTGTTTGACAAACAAGAACACTGGGTACATTTTTTGCTAATAAATGTTGTTAGCCATTTGTGGTGTGGGAGGATGAAATAACTTCTAATAATCTGAAGTAAGTTAAATGTCCTTTCTCAGCATTTACTAAAGCACTTCTACACTGTCTCAAATAGTGTCTGTGCATTTCATTTGGTATGACAGAGCAGTCTATGTAGAATTTTAACAATTACCTTTAGATAGCAAGAACTTTCATTAGCACAATAAGATATAATATTAATAATAGATCTGATCTCTGTACAATACTACTATCCCATAAAGAATCTGATACAACATTTGTGTTTTAAAGGTTGATAAGCCTTTTGCGTGCACCTTGCAGATGTACAGTACATACTGTACACATGCAAGCATGGACAATGCCAGACACACCTGGTTGTTTAATCTTCAAAAATAAGCAAATATATACCACAAATATCTTGATTTATTTTGAGACAGTACATACAGTAAAATCCAAATCAGTGTATTTCAGCATAAAAAGATAAGCAACAGACCTACTTTTTTCTTTTTCTGTTCATTTCTTGATGGTTTCTAGCACTGAAATGTCCCAAAGTTGATAAGAAGCCTCTATTATTCTACATGTGTTACCAAGTGTACATGTGTTACCAAGTAGCAGAAAAATGGATAGCACTCATCCATATGAAGTATATCACTCCTCCCACATATTAAATCCAAAGTCAATTTATGGGTATACACCAAGAGCATTTTTTTAAATTAAATTTAAATTGTAGAAAGTAGTTCCAAAATAATCTAGAAAACAAAGGTGTAGAATATAAAAGAAAATATTATACTGTGTTCTTCATTACATTATTGAAGCTATTCTAACAGCTTATATAAGACAGTTAATATACAATAACTAATCCTACTATACAGGCATGATCACCACAAAAGTTGATTCATTCACCATTGGAAAAAAAACAGATTTGGCACTACTATTCAGACATGCTTTTCCTTACAGTCAACCTTAATATGCTTTGACATTTTTATACAGTTAACTACTGTATTAGGTTTCTGAAATTACTCGTCTGATAAAAATAGATTTTGAATTGCGAAGAACAACACCAGTGCACGGGTGGACTACAAGAAACACCAAATATTGAGATGTCAAATTTATTTGAAAGAGACTTCGGTTTCTTCTCTTGTAAATACTGTACAGCAAAAAACGATAAGGCTAAAAGATGGTGTTGCTATGCAACATATTGGTATTGACTTTTATCGCGTTCGTTCCTGGGTATGCACGCATATACTGCAGTATTCCAAATATTATATTGCTGAATACATACGGTAACTTTAAAATTTAATAAAACAGAATGCTTAATGGAAATAATTATTTAAAATAAGCAACAAAAGGTTGTTTTTAGTTCAGTTTTTAAACTATAAAGTTTAATTTTGAAAATGCATTTGAGATGTTACTCTAAAATTGTATTTGAGTGTACACACACAAAAAGTAAATATCAGGCAAAACATTAGACAGAAGAGGCGCTTGTGACTGACAGTTTAGCAAACATGAACTTTTAAAATCTATCACCGAATCCGACTGTCACATGCAGCACAAAACACCAAGTTATCAAAAGTACACGTTCAAACACTGCTTAACGCTTTAACCTGCATTCAAATCGTAATTTATTATTTCCTCTCTCTATTAAGATATACATTTTCTTGATTCTCAAGGAATACATTCTGTTTTCACCTTTTACCTGTAGGTTTCCTAAACAAAAGCTTATGGAACCGAAGAAAAATGTAATTTGAATACCTGTCAGCTGAAAAACACTGCCAACTTTTAAAAAGAAATCACTTTTCTCAATCATCCATATACTGTAAGACGTGATTTCATCAAAGTCCCGAAAGAAATTATACATATCGATCAACAGGAAAAGTTTTGAATCAATGAGCACAAAAACAACACGTAAAACGGTTAAAAAAAACACTTTTCTTACCTTGAGGGAATGTTAATTCCACCGCAGCAACTGAGAGCACGCTTATCACTTCTGTTTTCTCCCTGTAGCAGAACACTAGTAAACTACAAAATGAACACAATTGGGCAGGAGGAGCTACAGTATGACACATGAATGTGCTTCTCCCCAGATGCTATCACACTAGCACTAAAAAATTAATCAGTTTCCCCCTACAAAGACGTTAAGAGGAAGGACACCAATCGTGACCAGCATCAAGAGCCTTACGGAATCCATAGCAACTAAGCAAACCCTGCAAAATTTCTCTAGAGAAGCAGACTTCACAACAGCAATGATTTAACACTCCCATAAGAGAGCAGCTCGTTCAGAGGGTAGAATAGGAACTGGTGTAAAGCACACATATGTTGAGGATTTCCCTTTGCAAAACCAAATACAATGCATTTTTTTCCGTTCTGTGGATTTGAAAACATGAACAAAAAGGCTCACATTTATTGTCAAAAACAATACAATGCGTGTTTTAGCAGGGTGAAGGGCTATCTGCGATTAAACATGTTTTTGCTAATGTTTTAAAACGCATTATGAAATATTTCCAAAACAAGTACGATCATATCCTGTTCACAGAGGCCTCTTATGGTGTGGTACACATGGCAAAGCAGCGTGCCTTCCCTTGTTATTCTCGTCAAGTATAAACATTTTTAATTTTCTTTCTTTGTCATGGTAATCAGCATCACTCATGAAATGAGAAATAATTTCTGGGATAAAATGAAGTACAAGATGAACTGATCAAGTATGAGATTTAAAAAAGTGTACAGTATATCATTCTGTTTTAGAACTTGCGAACTTTTCTATGTGTGAACACACCAGCTATGTGTGAATGGCAAATCTTGTTTCCCAGAAAATTTATGAAAATAAATAAAGACTAGAAGACTAACTAATGTGGACTATTCTCTGAGCTGAGAATAATATTTCAGCACCTTAGACAGCAACATCATAATTTTTATGCACTGTCAATAGTGTTTAAAATGAGAAAACAACATGGAAGTAACTGCCCCAGAGCAATATGTATCAAAATAACTTTGTACTGTGAATTGACTAAAGTCAATGTAACGATACTCTGAGATACAAAGTATTATTTTTTCCATTCTCTGTAAAGCATAGAATTTTTTAGAGGGGCAGTCCCCAGTGGTGCACCTCCGCAATAACAAATTGTCGGATGTCAAAATTGATTAAGCCACAATGCCTAGTGTAAAAATACAAAATCATCATAAAGAATGAAAAAGTAATAAATGTTCACATTTTATTACATTCCAATAAATATAAAAAAAAACATCTTTGTCAACATTCTTTCAAAATGGAATCTTAAGTGATATAAATAAAAGAAATTTCTACCTTTGCTTTAAGAAACACAAGATTCTTGTGTATTTGTACTGTAAATGGTAAAAAACCTTTGTTTTATACATGTATCTTGTTCCATCTCCTGTAGCTGTGTACAGTAGCTACTGTACATTTAGAAGACCAATGTGCTGTAACATTTCATTTTGTAAGTTGTGAGAAATTGTGCACAGTATGTAATTCTGGATTCTCCTATGTTTCTTGGTTGCATTTGAGATGATGAAATCATATTATCGACAGCTATTTCCATGTATGGTCCATTACGTCAGATACAGTTCATTATTCAGCACAAGTGCAAGACTGGTCTTGGACACAAAGCCATGGTCTTCTAAGCTGTGTGGTTATGGCTAGCTGAGCATCTTGAATTTAACTAACAAGATCTAACTATAAATCTTGTCTCCTTTTATAGAGAAGAATGACTTCTGACATGTGTTTATTCGATATTAAAGGTTATATGCAATGTGCCCAATCTAAAATAAGAATGCCTTTGTCTCCTAACAGGATTTCAGATGAAAATCACCTTCATGCTCAGTGATTTTAATATAGTGTCAACTGTATTAGCAAATATAGCTATGGGAAAACCTAAATTACCTATGGTTTTTTTCAAATAGAATGTCAGGTTTGTATGAAATCATTCCAGATCAATATTGAAGTTCATTTTTATGGTGCCTTTCTGTAATTGGTAACTCAGTAATAAAATATATCTTATTATACTCGAACCTGTTCTATCACTAAACAAAACTTAAATTTAAAACTAAATTAAAACTTAAAGTTTTAATCGGTGCTACTGTGTCTCTAATAAAATATAGATACTGTATATTCAGATTGGAAATATTGCCATCAAATCTTCAATTCCAATTATGTTTGGAAAATATATCCAATCTTCACCTACTTACTGCACATCATTAAACCACTTGTATTTTAATCTAATTTAATAATAATACAGTTTGTATTTTTGAACATGTTATTATCTACTTTTTTACTGTGGTATTCATGAGTAAATCATTGAAAGCACATTCACTCTATACCAGATAAAGCTATAGGCAGCATTAACATAATTTAAGATTGAGTGAACACAATTCTACAAATTGTCATTATTGACAATCATATCAATCTAAATGGACATTCTATTAGTTTCTATTTTTAAAAAGAATCAGTTAGATACTGTATGTCATGTTTCTGTCATATGGGTTGTATACAATGTGGGTTTTAAATTACTCACATTCTATTTTCCTTGATTATACTACTAAATGGTTAATGCAAAAAAGCAATTACTATATATGGAAATTTAAATACCTGTATGCATCAGTCACCATACAGCATAATAATTGAGCTGCAAAGTTTATTATTTAGTTTTACCTGAACTGTAGTTTTTTTCTTATGTTATACTCATTCATTACTGCATCATTCAATCTGACTTTCAGTCTTACCTCAGAATCACACATGTCTCAATATTGAATAGTCATTACTTTTTTGTTTATCATCCCACTTTTTATACCACATCTTTAATGTAATTTAACCCCTCTGGACTGGTGAGATGTGAGAAAGTTTAATTTACAGTTACAAGCAATTAGTGTAATCAAATTGTCTGAGGTTGTAAACATGCCAAGTTTACCTTTGTACATGTACTGTACAGTTTGAATAGCTGTTAGTTGTATCTTGTTAAAACAACAAGTTCGAGGTAAGCTTTTTTGCAACTATATTGAAAGGTACAGTACTATAATGTACTAATAAACTATATTGAAATTGAAATGTAGGGTGAAGCTGTGGCACTGTGGCTAAGGATCTGCACCTGTGACTAGAAGGTTGCTGGTTCAAATCCTGTGGCTGGCAGAGGAATCCCACTCTGTTGGGCCCCTGAGTAAGGCCCTTAATCCCAACTGCTCCATGGGTGTTGTACAATGACTGACCCTGTGCTCTGACCCAAAGCTTCTCTCCCTGTCTGTGTCTCATGGAGAGGAAGCTGGGGTATGTGAAAAAATGAATTCCTAATGCAAGTAATTGTACAGTATATGGCTAATAAAGTGATCTTATCTTATGAACACCTTCATTTAGATGTTGTTTTCATAGTAGTTAAAATATATAGTCAAGTAATGGATTTTAAATTTACTAGCCTTTTTGTAAATTCACATTCTGTTAATTGCAAAATCCAGATGTGTCTGGACTGTATTTAACCATGCATAACCCACTAAAGTATGCCCTACATTGTACCAGGTGTTCTGCATGAACAATTTCTTTCAGGATTTTTCAGTAGTCGTAATTAATTTCCCAATAGGCAAGACATTTTACTCCAACGTGAACACAGTGCTGTTTCAGCAAAAATGCTGTGATATGGAAGATCCTAGACAAAGAAAAGGTTTCCAGTGTGGCTACTAGCTGACTCAGCTTATTTACCTCATAACAAAATTTTTCATGAACCAGCTTAAGGACTGTATCAACCACTAGCTGACTAGTAATGATTATTTGATTTATTGATTTTTTTTTAATAAGAAGGGCAGAAATCCAAAAATGTCACATCTTTTATGTAAAATAAATCACAAAAATGTGAGCATTAAATGCCTATACTAATCATCTTTTTTAGTTTAGTGTTAGGCATTTGGCAGATACATGTGTCATAATGTTTTGACTTCCATGGTGGCATACTGTACAAAGATATACATTTATTGTAGTTATTCTAGAAACTCCATGCATTTTAACCCTGCATTATTTCTTCTCCTGAGCATTATATAGTTAGTGTGATGATTAAAAATAGCAAGTAGGGAATTCTTAATTCCAGTTTACACCTGCATTAGTTACTAAGTGAGATATATTACAGTTACCTATTTATAATAAAGCATAACTTTATTTGGCAAAACTTATTTGTAATATAAGTAACGCTACTTTAAGTTGCAATGTTGGAAACTCACTGCCTCTTGTCAGACATCCTCTTGTGTGGTTATATTTCGCACAGGGCAGAATTTGTACTATCGACATGCTCCAGGCTGTGTGGTGAGAATAAATGAAGTGGAAGTAAATATTCATGGCTGTTTTCAACTTGGCGCTAGTTTACTAATCAACGCTGTGACTATCAACATGATATTATGATAAATTGTGTTGCCAAAAGGTTTTAAAGCCACATATTTTCACATTTCTTCTGGAAGAACAGGCAAATTTTGTCACTCCTTTGATTTAAGATGCAAAGTGAAAACTAGTAATTCATCCATGCACAGCATAAATATTTATGTCACAGAGATCACATGAAAAAGCAAAAGCCATTAGCACAGAGTGCTGCAATTTTTTTCAGTGCCACAATTTATTTCAGTTCTTCACAGCACATTCTAAACTAATATAAATAATATGTATACTGCAATTTCTAATTTTTAGTGAACGATTACCAGGAGAAACCTACTGTATATAGTCAAGTGAGAAAGGAACTTTTAATAATATTCAAATAGCCACATTTGAAATAATCTATAATTTAAATTTGTTTAAATCGGTAGTTTTCCATATCAGGGGTACATACTTTGTACATTTGACATTACAATATATTAATCATTTGTTGAACAGCTTTTAACATTTAAACAGATTCAATTCCTTAAAGGGTGTCTGTATAATGGGCATTACAAAGCAGATGCCTTTGATGTTCCTTTTTAAAAGCCTCTAGGAACATGGCTGAGCAGTGGGTTGGATCATCAGTTCTTCTCATGAGCTACACTAATCATTGTTGCTTCTTTTAATTCTTTTGATTCTGTGCAGTTAGAATAAAAGAAGCTTTGTTTTATGATAACACACGTTTATTCACACCAAGTAACATCAGTCAATTATTAAAACCTCAAAATTCCATTCCAAATTCACTTGGAAAGAAAGAAAACCACCATCTGTACCTTTCCATATCAGCAAATGATTTTATTGGAGATCAAAGAACATATTTAGAAAGGAATTTTAACATTGGCAAGATAAGTTATTTCTACTAAAAA